ACGACCTAACCAACAACAATACAATCATCACAACAACAATGGCATAACAAAATCATAATAAATAATATAACCAACAACAACATAACCATAAAAACACAGCCAACAACAGCCCACCACTAACATCTTGCCCAGTAGCTAGAACGGTACAGAACAACTGAAGCCCCGTTATGATGAGAGGGCTAAGATTGGCAATCTGGAACGAGCCAGACGTTCTGATCTCCCCAGTGAGGTTGTTGTATTTGAGGTTCGTGTTGGGCTCTACGCTCGCCCGGACTGATATCTGTTCGCCGCCAGTGAAAGTTAATTTCGCTATGAGGCTGCCTGAACGAGTGTGGAGGGGAATAATAATAATAATAATTAATTAATTAATTAATAATAATAAATTATTATTACCATTACTATTATTATTATTAATTTTTAATTACAAACCCGGGGCAATACTTTGGGAAATGTTGGCGAGTGTGAAGGGGAATAATAATAATTATTATTATTTAATTACTAATAAAAAATGTTATTATTGTTATTATTGTTATTATTATTAATATTATTAATTTTTAATTTCAAACCCGGAGAAATACTTTCTGAAATGTTGGCGGGTGTGATGAAGTTGTTCTGATCAGCTAGGTTGCAGGAGCACAAGTCAGAAACATCTGCATGTGTACCTACATTCGAAATATAACAATAAAATTATTATCATTACTATTATTATTAATTAGATTATAACAGAGGTAATAATAGTTTTATAACACTAATACATTTCTTCAAGAGCAATGGTAAATACATTAACTATAAATAAAAATTATGCCTTTCTCTTTAAAGGAACGAAGGAAGAAAAGTAATGCAGTTTGAAGAGTTCAGCAAGTTCACACAAAAACACAAGACTATATGCAACATTTGTATAATAGCTTCTCAACTTGGAGCAAATAGTATTCAAACCAGGTCGTCGTCCAATAGCCATAACTCGGAATATAACAACACCTCTACCGTCTGAGCCATCCCAACAAATACAAAACAACAAGTATAAAATAATTTCTAGAATACCGATAATTATTAATTATGTCAATAATTTATTTTACGGAAATTTAAAAAATTAAGAAGCATTTTCAGTTCAGCAAAACAAAACTTGAAGCAGTACGTAAGAACTAACAATTTAGGAACAGCAGAAGAACCAAAAAGACGATGATGAAATTGCCTAGGTCGCTGGAACTCTTTGTCATCATCGTCGACGGGGTTGTCATTGTAAACTTTTTCAATTTTATTTTTAAACAATACTTCAGACAACAAATTTTTTACTTATCAATTAATTAGTTAAATTAATTAATTAATTAACTTAATTACTACAGTACAATAATAATGATAGTACTGCTATTTATCACATTTTTGTATAACAATCACACACAACACGCACACATGTTAGTCATACATAAAAAATTGTATAAATGTATTAATTAATTAACAATCATGTCGTCATCATTATCATCATCATTAGGATTAAACTAATTAATTAATTAATTATATAGCCATCGTCATCATCATCATTCTTATCATCATTATCGTCATCATCATTCAAATCTTTTACTAAAAAATCTATATCTGAAATCATGAGAAAATATTGGAGCTTTATATTATGCTGCTTCTTTTGGCTACACTTTGAATAAAAGCTTACTATCTCACAAAAGTGGATATATATATATATATATATATATATATATATATATAAGAAAGCCTCGTTCCAAACTATATATATATATATATACATATATGTATATTTATATGAAGTATGTATCAATAGATACCAAAACACGAATGTATGTATATGTATGTATGTATATATGTATGTATGTATGTGTGTATATATATGTGTGTGTATATATATATATATATATATATATATATGTATATATATATATATATATATATATATATATATATATATATACATACATACCTATTGTTCTGCTATGTTACTCTATTTGTCATGCACATTCGTATAACGTTGCTAACATTGTTAACATGAGTTGTTGTTTTTATTTTTGTCACTGTTGTTGTCGCTTGTGTAGTTTTGTTGTTATTAATGTTGTTGTTATTGTTGCGATTGAGGTTGTCGTTGTTACTATTGTTGTTGTCCATTCTGATGGAGTAATTGTCATAATAAACAACAAAATAAACAACAACATAAACAACAACACAACTCTGTTGGGTTTATTTTGATGCAAGAGTAGTTGTTGTTGTTGTGGTTGTTGTTGTCGTCGTTGTTAGATATTGTTAGCATTTTTGTTGCTTTCGTTTCGATAAGGTCTGACTGTCATCACAGACAATGTTTGACAGAATCATCATAAACATACAATGTATGCGTTTACTTAAATGATGTTATTTAAAAGTAAGAAGGCAACAAATTTAATTCCCAAATCTACATTTTGAATCATTTTAGTCATTATTTCGCCTAAACTATAAACTACAAATCATTTGTAACATTAGCATGTATTGCAGCTACATAGAAACTCCTTCAACCAGTGTAGATATGATGCATACATAGTTGAGTTACTTTTCAAGTTTTTATTCAATGAAAATCATTAAACAATTTTGAGTCTTAAATTTCAGAAGTTTTTATTTTTTAACAGATTGTTTTAATAACCTAGCGTGTCAATTAGTTTAGTATTTAGTAGTAGTAGTGGTGGTGGTAGTAGTAATAGTAGTAGTAGTAGTAGCAGCAGTAGTAGTAGTAGTAGTAGTTGTTGTTGTAGTTGCAGCAACACTAAAAGTAGTAGTTGTCGTAGTAGCAGTGTTAATGGCGGTTAGCATTAGTGATAGTAATGTACTTTTTATTTTACAATAGTAACATTAGAAGTTTTTAATTAAAAAATTTAACCTTATATCACGATCAACAATTATTTCATTGTTATCTAACACTCTTAGATACGCGCACACACACATGCACACACACACACACACACGCACACACGCACGCACACATAAACACACTTACATGCACTGATACTATCATACCTAAATTTTTTCGTTACTATTGTAACTTACAAAGAAGTCGCATACCTGTGAAGATTTTTGACGTTTCGATAAGTCAGTTTGATAGAATTCTTTTCAAATTTTTTCAATAAGCTTCATGTGAAGTTTTGTTTTAAGAGTTTCAGTAGTATAATTAACTTTTACTTTTTAAAATCTGTAATTATTCTGATAGTTTGCTTTAATATAAAAGCTTCCTTCATAAAGTCGAATTCATTTTACTACGGATTTCATATTCATCTTTGAGCAATTACTTAAACACTTTTTGTAAATAAGCGAAACTAATTGAACAATTTCACATTATAGACATATAAATTTTAATAACTTGTAATTATAAATTCACTAAATTCGGACGTAGATCCATAATAATAAAGATGTAAACAACGAGTGTATAGCATGGTGAATTGTAACACGCTACATATGCAATGCATTACTTGAAAAATAATTGCCTTGCATTTAGCAAAAATTCGTTTCAAAGAGACAAACTTTAATAAATAAATAAGCAAATATTATTAAAAATAATAATAAGGCCTAAGTTATTTTTAATCGTAAATTAAAACACTTTCCTGTGATGTAATTAACATTAATAAGGATGAGATTAAAGCTTATTAGGAAGCTATAGTAATGCACGTAATTCAACGTAGCGAAGATGATATAAAGCAGTGTTCGCTGATATTTCAATTTATATTAATAAAAGAGTGACCTGTCATGATGAGATAATTTAATAATGATTTAATAATATGACCACGGCTAGCCTAGAAGCTCTGTGGCAGTTAAGAAGTGAAGGCCGCTCAACAATTTTATGTTTCCATTTAGAGGACACAGACATGGCAAGAAAGGTCTCAAAAAGATGTTGGTGACATTCTTTACCCTATTCAATGTTTTCTTATAAAACTAGTGTGTTGTGTGTTTTTTTTATTAACTGAAAAATATGTTACAAATTTATAAGTACCTAACAGAAAGAAAAAGAGTAAGAGAAGGGGAGACTTTTTAAAGGCAACTTTTTGAAATTGTTTCACACTAGTCAGTCATTATGAATGGATTGAGTGAATAAATGTGTGACATACATGAGTTTTGAACGAGGTACAGTTTCATTCAGTGCAAAAATACCATTACAGAAAGAGAGATGGGGGGAGAGAAAAAAAAGAGAGAGAGACATCCATAACGAATGAACCTCCTAAGTTCATGAATTTGTTTCATTTGGGCATTTGTTGGTCAGTAGAAAAATATGAATGATGTTGTTTTGTTTGTGTGAAGATTTTGAACTGGACACGTTGATGACGATTAATTATGGCTAAAATATTAATAATTATTATCTGTATCTTCTTTTTGTTATTTTTGTTATTATTAATTATATAACAATATTTAATTGATAAAACTGAACAGAACGAAATGGTGACGACGCTAATATTAAGTAATTAATATTTCAGTTAACAGTAAGAGAGTCAAACCAGCATATCGCGATGGGAAAGCGAAGTTGAATCTCATTGTTTGGCAAGCACAATGCGAGATTTATTTATTAAGCTCTCTGCAAACAACACTCATTTACACACGCACACATACACACACTTACACATACACACACATATACTACACACACACGCACGCACACATGACTTTTTTATTTTAGAAGGCTTTATTTGACCTACTTATGCTTTGACATTCGAATAATTTTAAGATTGTAACGTAAGGTAAGGTTGTGCTAAGTGATGGTACAGCAATGCTATGGCTGACAAACTGCCAAATACATAAGGAAATACTAAATACTTAATTTTAAAAATACTAAAGTAAGAATTGTAAAAAAAGCAACCATTTTCATTGTTGTTAAATTTGATTTATTGGATCATTGGGTGAGAATGAATGATGTACGGTAAAATTTAAAAAAATGTCATGTATGTATGTGTTTGTTTGTGTGTGCGTGAAAATTAAATTTACAAGGTAACCATGGATAAACTTCATAAATGTTAGAACGACATACCAAAACCAAAGCGAATTAATTTAACTTAACAAGTCAATTACTTTTTTGTAATTTATTAACATATTTTAAAAATGTTAATATATTATAAAAATTTTTTTATTCAATCATTTTATTTATAATAATATTATATTTGGTTTTTACGTTTATTTTACGTTAATGTTAACCTTTATTATCGTCATGTTAACTTTGTTATAACTTATATACAGCACCATATATATATATATATATATATATATATATATATATATATATATTATATATCGTTTTCAGTTATTGACAGAAGACTTAAATAAATCTAAATATGGATTATTCAGAGAAGCCCTCACAGAATCAGCAAGAGTAGTTGTGAAGGAGCAAAGAAGAGGTCAGAAATGAATAACAGATGACATCGTATTTCTGATGGACGAACGAAGGAAAGTAAAAGGCTGCAGTTCTGATAGTTACAAAAGGCTTGACAAAACAATCAAAAACATGAGCTTAGAGGCAAAGGAGAAATGGTTAAATGACAAGTGCGAAATCATTGAAAAGATCAAAAACAGTAATGCAAATGCAATGTAGAAAAGCATCAAAGAAATCACTGAAAAAATGGCTTGTACCGTCTCCAGATGCATATAAGCTAAATTCGGTGAAGTAATCTTAGAGAAAGAAAAAGTACTTGAAAGATGGACTGAATACATTGACGATCTTTTTGATGATATCCGTAGTGAGAAGCCTTCTATTAAAAAGACGCAGAAGGACCAAAGATAATTTGATCTGAAGTTCGTGCAGCTCTTTCCAAAATGAAATCAAATAAAGCTCCAGGTCAAGATGAGATGAGATAGTTATTGAAGAAATTGAAAGCCTTGATGAATTTGGCATTGGAAAAGAGACAAAAATTTTTAACAGCGTTTGTTACTTTATTTAAAAAATAATTTTTGATATAGCTGATTGAAAGTAAAGTTATTTTACTGGGCTACAATATCGTGTAGTAACATAATTATAAAACAACAACAACAACATACGTTTAGACGACATTTTCCCCGAGATCGGGGGTTGCCGTTTGGCTACCTATGATGAAACCGAAATACCCCTCGCGCACCCTCTTCTGCCGGATACTGAGGGCCATTGTCACTTCTGTCATCATAAGTAATTTATTTGATTTATTTGACTAATTTTTACGCAGGACGCCCTTCCTTACGCAACCACAGTTATAATCGGTGGGCCTAGCCTTTGATGATCCAACATCACTCACAAGGCAGTGAGGGTCAGTTTAATGTCATAACCAGGACATGTAGTAACATAATTATGTAGTAACATAATTATAATAATAATTAATAATATGATTATAAGTAGAATAATAATTATTATTATTATATACGACGAACAAAACTAACGACGCCATTATTAAAACCATCAAAAATTCTATTATACATACCAATATATTTATTTAAAATCACAAATAAATTGTTTAACAGGAACGTGAAAAAATATTAAAAAAAAATTGCCAAACAGACACAAAAACCACCACCAATTGTTTTATGATCATCGTATATAATTATCATCATCATCAATATTTAAATAATCACCATTATCATCATCACATTCATCGTCATCAATCATTACAATCACCAGCATCATGACGCCTAACATTTAGCAATCAAATTGTAACGACGATCATCATCATCAGTACAACCGCATCATCATCATCGACGTCATCACCCTCGCCACCATCATCATCGTTTAGCGACATCTTCGACAGGCGATTGTTTGTGGACCATGTAGAGGAAGAGGATGCTACCAAGGGCGCTTATAAGGAAGATGACGTCAAACCACCGATGGTAGAAATTGAACTGCAGATCGCCCAGTACCTCCGTTATTATTGTTCTATGGGCGGTTTAATGGTTGAATTAATGGTTGGTTGGTTGGTTGGTTGGTCGGTTGGTAGGTGAGTTGGTTGGTTGGTTGGTTGATTGGTTGGTTGGTTGGTTGGTTGGTCGGTTGGTTGGTTAATTGGTTGGTTGGTTAGTTGGTTGGTTGGTTGGTTGATTGGTTGGTAGGTAAGTTGGTTGGTTGGTTGTGACTGTGAATAACTTGAGCGAATGAGCAAATTAATGAATGAAATAGCATAAAAATAATGAACGAATAAATGAACGAACGAATGAATGAAAACGAATGAATGAAAAAATGAGTAACTAATTAACATAATAAGTGATTGAGCAACCTGTATTCAGCTGGAAGATTCATCCTCATCAGCAGCACGCACGATAAAAAGTACATTCCCTAATTGGTCACACCATCAAAAATTAATATTAACTAAGATGCTAATTGAATAAATTATGCTAATTTACGTTAATCATGACCAAATTATGCTAATTTAAGCAATTCAATTCATGCTAATTGAATAAATTATGCTAATTTACGTTAATCATGACCAAATTATGCTAATTTAAGCAATTCAATTCATAAATTAAGGGACATAGAGATTGAAATACATTAAAATGCTTGGCCTCAAGTAACGTGGATGAATAAAAAGAATAGAGAAAGAATGAAACACGCTATTGCAAAAACATTTATTTATTATTTATTAATTAATTCATTCATTCGTTCATTTATAAATGAATAAATTCAATAAATTCAATAAATCAATCAAACAAACAATCAATCATCAACCAATCAATCATTCAATCAATCATTTATTCATTCTTCCCTTCATTCGTTTATTCATTAATATTAACACACACATACCATGATCTGAGCTAGGCATAGAACAATGATGTTTGATGATTTAGTGCTAGCTATGGCGTAAAAAAACTATAAAAAGAAAACATTAAATTAGTTAATTATTTATAATAATAATAACAATAAATTACTATTATTATTATTATTAATATCATTATTATTATTATTGATATCATAACCATAACCACCTTGGTGAGAGTAATGAGTAAACCCCTGATGGAAGTGATGATGATGATACCGACCAGCCAGAAGGAAATGTGCTGAGACCAGAAACGCACCTGATTGGTCCAAATGTAATATGACGTCATCGTCGTCGTCGAAGTTGTTACACAGGCACCCACTCAAGGTATTATTGGCGTTGCAAACTCAATTGGAGATTATTATTAATATTGATGATGAGGCAATGAAGACTTCGAAACGACGGCAGACAAATTAATTTTAAAAACGACTCCTCGAAATTCCATTCGCAATTTCGATTGCGAACATGAAGAGTTGATGGAAAAAAAAGTTAAAAGACTTGAAAAAGGAAATGTGACAGAGATCGAATTTAACAAAAGATCTTTTGAAGAAAATATCTCGTCTAAATTTACTGACTTTAGTATATATACATGCATGCATGCATGCAAACCCAAGAAAAGAATGAAAGAATAAGTGAATGAAATGAATGAATGAAATGAATGAATGAAATGAATTAATGAATGAGTGAATGAATGAGTGAATGAATGAATAGAATGGATGAATGATTGAATGAATGGAAGAAAATGAATGAATGAATGAATGAATGAATGAATGAATGAATGAATGAATGAATGAATGAATGAATGAATGAATGACCAACGTCGAATTGTATTCCGAGGTAGTTGACAGCAATCTCGATTCCTCTCGTTACAGGATCAACCTTGCCAACTCTATCCAACACTATGTTGAACGTTGCCTGCATCCAAATGGTGGTCACGTGGTGATGTGATGTTGACGTAATGTGATGACGTGACTATGGTGGTGGTGATGTGGTGGTGTGATATGATAATGTGATGGTGATGTGGTGGTGGTGATGATGAAGAGTATGACTTGATGTCATGCTCATGACATGGCTAACAATTTTCAGATTTAAAATATCTCAAAAATACAAACCTGAAACCAACTTAGCATAAATAATATAAGAAGAAAACTGCTGCAAAACCGCCCAACCTATCAACCAACCAATCAACCAACCAATCAACCACCAACCAATCAACCGGCCAAAATTAACCAACCATAAAAATCTTCCAGACACAATATATAGAGAAGAAATGTCCCATTAGGTTGAAATACTTTCCTTTCAACGTCTTTAGACATTCCTTGCGTTCCTTCAATAAAATTCAAATCAAATTTATATCGCGAGTGCAATTACATTTCACTTTGTCATAACAACAATAAAATCAACAGCAACAACAACAGCAACAAAATCAACAACAACAGCAACAAAATCAATAACAACAATAACAAAAACAACAACAGCAACAAAAACAACAACAACAGCAACAAAATCAACAACAACAAAATCAACAACAACAGCAACAAAATCAACAACAGCAAAATCAACAACAGCAAAATCAACAACAGCAACAGCAAAAACAACATCATCAACAACAACAACAATAATAACAATAAGCGATAACAACAATACTTGTTCATTGTGCAGATCAACTGATTCGAGGAACAACTGCCTTGAAAACTCTTCAAGGGCCTCTGCCTCTTCCCTCATGTAATGATCATCTTAATAATAATAATATTAATAATAATAATAATAATTATGGAAACAGATTTTAGTTTCTCATTCATCAAAGTAAGAAACCAATCGCTAAAAGAAATGTCTAATAGAATTAATTACAATAAAATGTAAGCAAAATAAAATATATTTAAAATTCACGCAAAAAAAATAATAAAAATAAAAATAATAATAACGATAATAATAATAATAATAATAACAATAACAGTAGGAAGGATAATTAATTATTAATATTTCTCATGATGAATGAAAAAGTTTAAGAGCCCTAACTATTATGATTACTAACTCGAGTCCCTTCTGATCCTCTTGAAGACCCCTGAGAAAGTCCACCTGCCCTCAGCCTCCTTCGACCCAACTGAATGACTATCACGCTTCGACAGTACCATCCTAATCGTGACAATCATCAGGGTAGCCATTATTTTAGTAGGATTTTATTATTTCGTTTAAAAAGGAGAACGAGAGAAAGACGGAGAGAAAAAGAGAGAGAAAGAGAGAGAGAGAGAGAGAGAGAGAGAGAGAGAGAAAGAGAAGACGGAGAGAGAGAAAAAAAAGAGAAAGATGGAAAGAGAAATGGATAGACGGAAAGAAAGCCGGAGAGAGACTCCGGGCAATGGAGACCAAACCACCTCTTCTTCTTCATGATGATCATATCCATTGTCTGCTGCAGCCTCTTCTCTAGCGTCAAAATGTCAGAATCATCTACCTGTCTGTAAGAAATATTTTCACCTTTTGTCAATCTTATCTTTTTTTGTGAGTCTTCGTCATCATCATTATCGCCATCATCAACATCATCGTCACCATCATCGACATCATCATCATCATCGTCACCATCATCGTCATCATTGTCTTCGTCATCACCACCATCATCGTCGTCGTCATCATCGCCATCATCATCGCCATCCTTACCTAACAAAATAGGACATACAAGTGTACGGGTAGTTGACGGCACCGAAGCCAGACAGGACGGCCATGATGGTTACCCCGAATACACCCACCCTACCTATGCATTGCTCTATGGAGAGGATGCCTTGACGATGTTGGTGAAGGCATTTTGGATGTGGTTGATGTGTTGTTGATGATGCGTTTTTGACGTGTTGTCGATGTGTTGTCGAAGTTATTGTTGTTGTTGACAATGTTGGTGTGTTGCTGATGTTATTGTTGTTGTTGGCGATAATGTATTGTTTCATCAACTGACTCACTCACTCACCAACTCACCTACTAACTCACCCACTCACTCACGTTCTCACATCACTATCTCACTCACATCACTACACTCTCCCACTTCCTCACCGTGTTTGGGGCTCAGGATAGGAAAGGGATCCCCGACCTTCCAGAAGAAGTAAAAATAGATAGCCCAGCAGATTGCGGCATAGGTTATCTTGAAAAATTTTGCACCAGGTACTGTTTAAATTATTAAATTATTAAAATTATTATTAAAATTATCATCATCGTCGTTATCATCATTTCAATCATCATAACTAGAAAATAGATATAAGCAGCCCTAATCCTGACAAACCAACAACCAAAGGAACAAAAATCTAACAAAACTGGATGTTGCAGATGGCGAAGTAACAGATGTAGAAAGGGAGAATGAATATCACAGTGAACAGTGTAGCGTACAGCTCCAGCTTCCAATGGAAGTACCTAGAACTGGTTGTTCGGGAGAATTCTAATTTAAATGATTTTTGAAAATTTAAATTAAATTAATTGCTTTTGTTATTTATCAATTTTGATTGGAACTAAATAACTCTTATTATTAATCATTCATGGGTTTGTTATCATTGCTATTTATACTTTTTCAAGATCATAAATCAGTTCCATCAAAATGTGATTCCATTGAAGCATTATTAACTTTATTAATTTTGTCTAATTTTGTGTTAGACGTATAGATAGGAGTTGAGACCCGGAGACGGAAAATTGTAACCAGAGTTCGAGAACCAGAGGCCGAGTAGGAGCCAGAAAATTTCATTAAAGGAGTTCGTCACTTTGCACATCGTCCTCACAACTCACATAATAGCCATAGCAACTTCATATTATCACTCACATCATCTCACTCACCCAACCACCCACTCGCTTACTCACTCACTTACTAACTTATCCACCCACTCACTCACATCAACGTTAATATGGTCAACGCTTGTAATTATTTGAATTGAAGAACCACAAAACCCTGATTAACCTGGGGTCAAGTTGTCCCATGATTTCGAATATTATGAGCTCAAACATGGTGCACGAGAGGGCGAATGTGGCCGAATACAACAGAAGGACCAACCAATCATGGACCTTTATAAAAAAAACAACAATAAAAAAATTACAAAAAAATGCGTTAATTTATTAGAATTTTTATTATATTATAGTTTATTTTCCTACCTCATAATCTCGAAAGAGTTGCTTGAGAAAGAAAACCCAGCCAAATCCAAAAAATATGATCTGTGTGTGTAAGTGGATGTATGTAATAAATTGTAAATTATTTTAAAATAAAAATTACACATTTATATAAATAACAATAAAGTAGTAGTAGTAGTAGTAATAGTAGTAGTAGTAGCAGTAATGCTATTCTGGAGGTTATCCAGAGAACATGCTGTCAGCAATGCTAGCACGGCTGATTTGTAGGTTGATTGTTGTTCATCCAAACTTTAAACTTGTTATTAATTGTGCTTAAACAAGTGATATTTGGTAATGAGTTCCAAGTATTTGCGACTCTATTGAATAAGTAATTCGCTCTGCCTCTATGTCTTGTTAACTCTTTATTATTTTTTATACTTAACTATATAGTCTCATATCTTATCTTTTGATTATCTTTTACTAAATCTTTTTAGATTATGTTTGATAGACATTATTATGATATTATTTCGATTTATCATCATTAACTTGTTATACATCCATCTACCCTAATTTAAATTTAAAGTTAACTTTGTATTCTATACTATAGTAACTTACTACTATACAAATAATTAATAAATTTAGTTTACACACAACTTTTCTACTAACTTTTTAAAATAAGTACCATACAGACAAAATAATTGAGTTTTTATTTTGAATGAATTTTTTTTTATTTCATTTTATTTAAAATTGAAAAAATCAAAAGAATTTAAAATTTTAAATTATTTTAAATTTGCCTCTTCTTGTAATTAATTTTTAAATTAATAATAACGCAACGTAAAAAAATCTTTAAATATATATGAAAAAAACTAACCAGCGAGAAAAACATGATGCAAGAATCAACGAGAAACGACATTTTGGTAATAAATTAAAAATTATTAAATTTAAATTTAGAATAAAAACACGAAAAATAGTAGTTAAATGGGTAAAAATTAAATGTAAACCGAGATACAAAAGTTTGAAAAAGTTCAAAGCGTGGAAAAATTTTATAAAACTTATTATAACACAAAAAATTATTATTTTTAAAATGTTGAATTTTGTTAAAATTTTATTTGTTTTTAAAAATATTAGAAATAAAAAATTTCTTTGTAAAAAAATGTAGAATATGTAGAACAAAATGTTCCGTGAGTAAGCAAATTATTTTGTTCACTTTTAAACATTATTTGCCGTCGGTAATGGTTTCAAATTATTTTTTTTTCAAAAAGATAATTTGGAAATTGAGTTTTTTTAATTGTTAGAAATTTTATTTATCTAATTTAAAACTAATGATTTTTTTTCAGATCGTTTTTGGTCGACGACTACGGCGAATTCACTAATTTCACTATTCTATTTGAAACCGCTTGGAAGAAAAAGAAAAACAAATTTCAAAAATGGTGATATACCTATTTTAATTTTTTATATTTTATTTTTTCATTTTATTTTGCAATTCTTAGTTTTTATTTTATAAACTGGTTTCAGATTTTCAAACGATAAAAAATGAATTGTTAAGTGTAGGGTAGTGAGTAATCTATGAAATGAATCTATAAATAATTCTATATATATATATTTATATATATATATTAATATTTTTTGTAATTTTAGAGTATCATGTCATATAATGGAGCGGCCATCATAGCCATGAGGGGTAAGGACTGCGTTGCTATTGCAGCAGACAGACGATTTGGCATTCAGGCCCAGACAGTTTCAATGGACTTTGAAAAGGTTTTCAAGCTTGGTCAGCATTTGTATATTGGTCTTGGAGGACTGGCTACTGATGTACAAACAGTGTACGTATTTCTCCAATTTTTTTCTTCATTCACTTCATGTTTCAAGTTATTTTTTATTTTCATCTCAGTAACTGAATTATTACAATTCAATTAACTGTACTTTTTAACTTCTTAACATTTTTTTATACCTATCGACAGCATTGAAAGGTTGCGGTTTCGAGTGAACTTATATGAACTGAAAGAAAACAGAAGAATTACTCCAAAAGCATTGCTCAGTTTGGTGTCCAACTTTCTCTATGAGCATAGGTCTGTATGGGTAAATTTTGCAACTAAATTTGACCTTGAATCCATTTTCATCATATGTATTTGTATTTTAATTATAATCTCAATTTGTTTTTATTTTTCTGGTTAGTTTTCTTAATATACTAATAAGAAGAGAAAGTTTGTTTTATCTTTACAATGATCAAACTTTTCGCAAAAAAATTCACTAGGTTCGGTCCTTATTTTATTGAGCCAGTCATAGCTGGTTTGGATCCAAAAACAGGTCAGCCATTCACGGCATCAACTGACTTGATCGGTTGCTCATCAGAGGCTGAGGACTTCTCCATCTCTGGTACTTGCACTGAGCAGATGTACGGCATGTGCGAATCCCTCTGGAAGCCAGATATGGTTGGCCCCATTCTTTTTTTGAGTTGTTGCTTTAGCACGGTGACAAGGGGATGTAGTGGTTGAGATGTTTGTCCTGTTATTGCAGCAACCGGGTTAAAATGTAGAAAGAACTTCACCTATTGCATGTGTTGATACCTCTGAGAAATATTACTATCTTCAGTGAATCACAAATTGTTGTGATCAACATCATTCATTTTCATCAACGATCCTTGCTACCATCATTGACAGCTCAGTCAATTGTAATGAAGCTATTTTGCTGACTATCAATGACTTTGTGTTTTATCTACTATCATCTCCTAAGTAATAATAATAATATTAAATTTATACAGTGCCCTATGCATAACGTTGTGGGCGCTCTTCTGTTGTTCTTCTCAATCTAGTTTCACCATTATCTATTATTTCTTAATTGTGTTATCTTCATTACCATCAGACTGCCATCAATAATTTTTACTATATTGGTATTATCATCCTATCGTCGTCATCTTCAACATCATATTTGCAACTACAGAGTCCTGATGAACTGACGGAAGTGATCTCACAAGCACTGCTGAATGCCCAGGATAGGGATGCAGTGTCTGGATGGGGCGCCATTGTGCGCATCATGTAAGTCGACCACCACCCAACAACACATCTTGGATGTTTTACATCAAAAACTATTTTTTGACAAGTTAATTGTAGTATTTATGTGGTGATCTAATTGAGCTATATTTGCTTCGTGTTTTTGGTGATATTTAATGTGATTAACTCTGTAATTTAGTTTCAGTTCAGTTTAATTTCTTGTATTGCAGTAAATGAACGCTGATATTTCTTATTGTTTCATAAAAAGTTTTTTGAATTCACTAAAATTTTTTTTTTTTAACTTCTTCAGAGAGAAGGACAAGGTGACAACAAAAATACTGAAAGCCAGAATGGACTAGTTTATTTCAATTTTTAATTTGGTTATACCTGACTCAAAATAACAAAATTGTTAAGCCAACGTTGTTAGTTACGTGTTGAACATTCTTCTTAGTCGTTTGCCTCGGTTGGTTTTAATAAATTTGTATAAAAATTTATCTCAATTTCGTTAATTCCGACGGTAAAACATAATAAATGTTTTGTATATTTGAGAAAAATGAATATCCCTAAAAACGTGAAGATGGAATTTAATGTTTTTGCGCGCTCAGCGGCGCAAAGTTTGTCTTCACAATGTTAAATCGACGGCAATCTGCAATCGATGTTCACTGGAATGGTTTTACTTGAAGCATTCAGTGGAAAAATAAATTCGGCATTTGTAGTTTTCCACAAGACATATTCTTAGTCACGGCGGTTTAGTAGGAATTTTTATTTTAGGAATTGTAAGCGAAAATTAAAAAATATGTATCAGTGTACGTTTTATGTACAAGTCGGGTGAAATTTTTTATTTCAGTACTCAGATGTCTCGTTCTGGGAAAATAACTTTAAAAATGTTCTTTGTACCTGTGATATTTTTCGCATATTTGGCTTAGCGAGTTGTGGGTTTAGACAACGGCCATCCCACGTATGTTTAATAAAGATGCACAGTTCATACTGCGGCCTGCTTAATAGTGGTTTATGCAGCGCATAACTAGAAACTTTTGACTGTTCTTAAATAGTTTATCAACTTGACTGTCTTTTGAGTTTTAAGTATTTATAAAGAAGACATCAAGTCGGTGAAAATTTGCAAATAGCATCATATGTATTCATAATTCAATAAGTAATATATGGAAGCTAAACATTCAACTATTTACAAACTACAATATGTTTGTCACGCGAAATGTATTAAACTTTAACAATGCACGCGCAAAATGAAAATACTAATAAATATTTATTAATATGTATGTATAATATTGTCTCGAAACAAACAAACAAACTGATATCAATTGAATCAAATGTTCAAAACAAGAGTGGAATAATCATTAAATCAAATAAAGAAAGAATCACTACTCAATAAAATGGATGGATGATAAACTGGTTGAAAGGTTGGTTTGGGTCTATCGAATCAATGAGCGAATGAATGAACAAACGAACGATTGAATGAATGAATTAACAAAAGAATGAAGTTACGGGGTAATAAACGGATGGATGTAAAGGAAGATGAAATACCAAGAGATTAATTTATAAAATTGTGAAATTAACAAATAAATAAATGAAATAGATAATGGATTGCCAAGCGTATATGTAAAAACATTGAGCGTGGTGTGATTTGCAAGTCACTGATACCTCGGATAATGAATAAATAAACGATAAATAAACAAAGCTAGTTTGATCATCGTCAAATTCTCGTCACTAATGTGATTGTTCTTGCTATCATGTTATCTAGTTTGATCATCGTCAAATTCTCGTCACTAATGTGATTGTTCTTGCTATCATGTTACTCGTAGCAATAATAAATAAAAATGACATCATGCTATTATAAAATTTCTCGCAAACTCTGATGTCTCTAAATGTGCTGTACTCCAAAAAAAACAACCCACTGACAAATGGATATCAAATGAAAAAACCACATCAAAACTTATTCTGCCTGCCTGATTCAAATGATAAGAAATATAAAAATGCACGTATAAATATTTATCGCAAATATTATTACACTTATATTATTATATATCATAATAATTATTATATAATGACACGACGAATTGCTATTGCCATGTTTGTAATCTGGAGTTGAACGTATGAGTGAGTCACCTGGTGTGAGTGAGGTCAAACGAATAAACGTTTTTCCAATTCAATAATTAAAATTATGATAAAAATCTGCACAAATAAAAACCTTAACCTTCCATTTGACTATGTTATATTCATTTTGTAACAAAATATGATGACGTTATAATAATATTTAAAAAAAAAATGAGCATTGGTATAGTTCTTGCTTAATTAACAGCAACACTCCGAACATTATTCCTTATAATATTTCTGGATCGTTAAGTAGCATAGGTGGAAAGAAACGCTGAAAAAATGAACGTAAATGAGAAGATAAAAAGATATATAAACAAAAAATCTGTTGAAATGCAACCACACGCACACATGAAAACTCCAAGCGAAGGAAATGTTTTTAAATAACTAGCAGCACAATGCTTATTTCCAGGTTTAATAAAAACTATTATATATCATCACATAACTAACTCCATCACTTTGCTAAGATGGGAAAAAAAATAAACTAGAAAATAAAATTATGTCGATTATGATCGTACAACAAAGCAAGAGTTTGCTCGCCGCATAATGCATACCAGTATGGGAAACACTAAGCTATATATATTATGTGTGTATGTGTTTGTGTATGTGTGTGTTTAACTGTGTGTAGTTGTACGTGTATACGAACTAGTTAAGCAAACACGTGTGTGAAATAATGAAAAAATAAACAATAAACTTGAAGGCGACAGAAGCACTCAAGTTATTTATTATTGATTGTTGAAATGTATTGAAAATATCAAAAATAACTTTGAACGTTAACAAAAAATGGATGCAAAAAATCGGGAAGGTGAAGTGATGCGTGTCTCGGTTCTAAATTGTTTACTCAACGAGACGATAAAGTGAAAATTTCGATTCCGAAACGATTAAATCAAAAATTGGTTTAGTAAAATTGTTTCAACAGGATATGTAGATGTCTGGACAAGCAAGTTCAAACGTTAAATTACCAATGTCTAAAACGATGGGAGGTAATAATAATAATAAAAACAATAATAACAATAATAATAAGTTGTGAATGAATACTTGCAACCACCAATGGGAGAATAACAATAATAAAAAAAATATACATATATAATTAATATAATCGCCATAGCACATTGGAGATGTATTAGTAATAAATACTAATTAATAAGTAAAAATAGAAATTAATTTCTCGCGCGATATATATATATATATATATATATATATATATATATGTATCCGTTCAACTATGAACGTATGGATAATGAATATAGTATATATATATATATATATATATATAATATATATATATGCATACATACAAATAATGTATATACGTGTGGTGTCCGTGTGTATGTGCGCGCAGTTAAATATCAGATGAGTTTTAATTGAATGGAGTAATTTTACTCTAATGACGAAGATTTTGATACTCACTCAATTTGAAACAGAAAAAAAAGAGTTTGAAAATAGAAGATAAGTTAAGAAAATAAATCTTAAAGATACTTAGTAGAAAGAAAATCTTAACTAATTAAAATATAATATGAGAATAGTATGATATATGGTAATATATGCAAAGCCGTAAATTAAACACAAAGTTCAACTTTTAGCTTAACGAACACCAGTCTAGCAATATTTTCATCTATTCCTCAATTTATATATCAATGTATATATAAATGTATCTATCTATCTATCTATCTATCTATCTATCTATCTATCTATCTATCTATCTATCTATCTATCTATCTATCTATCTATCTATCTATCTATCTATCTATCTATCTATCTATCTAACTACCTGTCTATCTATCAACCTATTTACCTATCTACGTATCCATATCATCTATATCTATGTTAAATGCAGGCATATTAAATAAGTAACAAATAAATTAGAAGAAAATATTCATCATGTTGACATTCAGTAGTACTCTGTAGAGCGAAACAACCCAATTATGTAACAAATAAATTATGAGCGAATTTACTCTTTAACTTGCAGCATATAAAGTTGATTGAAATGGTGGTAAAATAACGTTAGAAATTCGCTTCGTTTTTTTTAATATAGAAATGATATCATAGACAATATTGTCAAATACATCACAACTTACATCATAGAAAATATTGTCAAATACATCACAACTTAAAAATAAACGAAGTGTTAAAGCCCATACACACACCGTACACACATACACACACACACTCATATAAAATGGTCTTGCGACTGCAGTTACATTAAACTAAAGACATCTAGGAAAAAACTTTCAATCAAAAATAAGCTAAAAACCTAAAAAACTAGATAAAGATGGCGATGTCGAAACAGGTGTGTACTACAAGCTGGGACCAACATAATTATAACTAGAGACTTTATAAGAATGCGTGAAAAAAAATATTTGACTGAATTTATTTTATGATCTTACTTAAATCTATCGACACCAGGACATATGAACCATATAAAAACATATAATGCTCGTAGCATTTTCAATATTCATCATGTTCATATTCAATAGTATTCAGTAATATTCAGTAGTACAAAACAATCCAAGCAAATAGAAAAAAAAACGAAATGCTACTTTCTAAAACGCTAGAAAATCTCTGAAAATTTATTGAGGAATTACACCGTTGGTTTTAGATGAAAAAGCTCTTTTAAGTCATTTATATATATATATATATGTGTGTGTGTGTTTGGGAGTCTGTCTATGTGTGTGAGTGTGCGTACGTCTACTGAATATAGCGTGTACGTACGTACACAAGTTGTATGAAACAACACAAAACAACAACACACGCAACACGCATAAAAAACGCAGATGCTAATGAAACGATAGTGACATATAGCGAAGAATGCTGTTGTAGAACGAGAGGTATAAATACAACGACATTATTAATATATTATGATCTTGACATTAAATGCAGGTCACATTCATAGAAGGACGCTGGTCATAAGCCGCCCTATCATGCATACACGCAAGTATAAAACCGGAGATTTTAATCTTACTTGCCATAATTATTATAATATAAATCTAATTATATTAATAAGAGCTATAATTATCATTAAATTATACAAATGATCTGTGCATAATATGCGATCAAATATTAAATCATCCCCTAACAGCTATATGCTGTCTACAAATAGAATGGTCACTCATTCAAGAAATATACAATACAACGAAGACATCAGCTCAACTTCATTTAAATAGTAGCTACACCATCTCACAAAATCAATCCTCCAGCTTGCATAAGCTAATCAATTAATTAAAAACCAATATATACAACGATATTATGTTCTTAAATAGTTTGTCGGTGTCTGAGAATTTTACTCATAAAGGAATGTTAAATACATTTCCAGGTTTGTCGTTTGGAAAAAACTTAATTTATTACAAAATTGCAGGAATTTTTTTTAGTCTGAAATGTTTGAAGAA